ACCTGACCCAGTAACAATTGCTCGCAGGCTGCCGGTACATAGATTGTGGTCCAATTAGCTGGAAAATCATTGTGCACGGTGCAGCTGGGCGTGGCATTGTTACACACGTGACATCGCGGTTTTAGATTGGCCAGTCCTTCGGTCACGAGTTTGGGAGAAGGTCAGGGGTCTGACGCCGCGATCGTCACAAGCTGTGCTGAGGCCAGGCCACACAAGACCTTCACCTTGGCATATGCTGCTATTTTCTGGTGATTGTCCTTTGCATGCTACAATGTCTGCTTTTTCATTTTTATGGAGAAATGGCTCTTGGGTAAGTATTAAAAGAGTGGAAAAGAGCTAACTATGTCTACTGCCATTTTATATAGATAGTCTCTCTGACAGAGAGCCATTAATTTTGACAGATGCATTGAGGTAGGAAGATAAGTCCCATATCCAAGAAAGCATACGGGAAGGATGTGAATGTGAGCTGGGAAAAAGCTCCAGGAAGTTCAAATCTACCTAGTTGAAGGCCTTCTCTGGCTCTGTGGACCAAAGGAGCGAAGGATCAACCTGGCCTGTTAACAGTTGATTTACATGTAGTATCTAGTGCAGCAAGGTAGCCTGCTTGCTAAAATACTGGTACATTATTTGAGGTTGGCATTTAGAAGAGAGATCAGCTTGTAACTTGTGTAATTCAGAATTTCTGTTTAGAAATCACTAAAATGTGGACATAAAGCAAGTTCAGGGTAGAAAGTGCCTATCTGTAATGGTGCTCTAGGCCCTGAGGAAAAGGTTGGCAAGTTCTGTTTTATAATAAGAGTGAGACCAACAAGACCAGGCACTCTACCCTCTGGAAGGCTGCCCAGTGTTTGTTAGAAATCCAACAATGTACTGTTTTTCTTTCTTAGATATGGTAGGGAGGCTGAAAGTAAGTAGGACATAAAGGAAAATATCTTCTCTTCTCTTTAGCCCTCCATCATTTGTGGGTTTAGTGTGGTAAAAGGATCTAAATGTGGCAGCAATATCTGAAGTAGTGTTTAGATTTTGGTCAGTGCAGGTATAGTAGGGATTTATAATTGTGCCTTCTGGGCTTGTATCATGACTACATGTTGCCGTGCTTATAAAAAAATATTGGATATTTTGATTCCTTAGAGATCAAATATGGATTTCAAATTTCAAATTCTGAGTTCCGTATTCCTAATTCTGAATTCCAAATTCTGAGTTTTCAATTCCAAATCCTCAGGTTTAAATTCCAAATTCTGAGTTCCGAATTCCAAATTCTGAGTTCTGAAGTAAAAACTCCAAAGTTCCCAATTCTGTGTTCTGAATTCCACATAGTTATGCATTTGAAATTCTAAATATTAAATTCTGAGTTCCCATTTTTGAATTCTGTCTTTATGAATTGAGTTTCGAATTCCAAATTCTGAATTGCAAATTCTGAATTCTGAGTTCCAAATTCTGAATTCCAAATTCAGAGTTCCAAATTATGTGTTCTAAATTCTGAGTTCTGAATTTCAAATTCTGAGTTCTGATTTCCAGATTCTGAATAAGGAATTGATAAATCTTAGTTCCAAATTCCAAACCGAATTCTAAGTTTCAAATTCCATCTTTTGAATTCTAAGTTCAAAATGTCAAACTGTGAGTTCCACATTCCAAACTCCGAGTTCCAAATTCCAAGCTCCTAATGCTGAGTTTTGAATTCCAAATTCTGAATTTCAAATTTCAAGTTCTGAATGTCAAATTCTAAATTTCAAACTTCTAAATCTAAATCTCAAATTCTGAGTTCCGAATTCCAAATTCTGATTTCCATGTTCTGAATTCCAAATTATGAATTCTGACTTCTAAATTCTGAGTTCCAATTGTCAAATTCTGAGTTCTGCAATCCGAGTTATAAATTCAAAATGCAAAATTCTGAATTCCAAATTTTGAGTTCCGATTACTGAATTGAGTTTCAAATTCCAAATTCTGAGCTATGAATTTCAAATTCTGATTTGTGAATTTCAAATTCTGAGTTACAAATTGTGAATTCCAAATTCTGAGATACAAATTCCGAGTTCTAAGTAATGAATTTTGAATTCTAAGTTCTGAACTACAAATTTCTGAGTTCTAAACTCCAAGTTTTGACTTTCATATTTCTAATTCTGAGGTCTGAATTAGAAATTCCACTTTCTGAATTCCAAAATCTGAGTTTAAGATTCTAAATTCCAAATTCTGAGTTCTGAGTTCTGAGTTCAAAACTCTGAATCCCAAATTCTGAGTTCTGTCTTCCTAGTTTTGAGTTCCGAATTCTGAGTTGTGAATTCCAAATTTTGATTTCTCAATCATAAATTCTGAATTCAAATTCTGAGTATGGTATTCCAAGTTCTGAATTCTGAGTTTATAGTTCCAAATTTTAAACTCCAAGTTCAGAATTCTTAATTCTGAGTTCCGAATTCTGAGTTATGAATTCCTAGTTTCCAGTTTACATCATCTGCCTTTATGGGACTGTCAACCAGAGATTCTTTTTCCCCATGAATTTACAATTTCTACAGCACCATGCTGTACTTTAAGCCATTTTTACGCATGACATTTTTTGTTGTTGATTTCACTTTTTTTTTAAATTAGCATTTTTATTTCACTCTTTGACACAGTACATATTACAAAATCAAGGTAAACAGTCCACCTAACATTGTGGGACAAGAACAAGTTTTATGAACACAAGTTACAAGCATCGGAAAGAACCATGTAGTCCGGTAGTAGAGGCATCTATAACTGTTAATTGAGTCTGGGAATTGGTTAAGGCACCATTAGTATGTAGATTGTAAAGTTTCTCGTAATATCCCAGAAACAGTTTGCAATGTCTTGTGATTTATGAAGCTTATTTCCCTGGGGGAACTGTACCATAGGTATGTAAGATTTATGTTTGGTATCCTGTAGAGCCCAGGCCAATAGCCTCCCTGGTTTATCTCTGAATTCGTAGTAATGTCTCTGGGATTACATCAATTTAGTTTTTTCCTTCATGAGTAGAATAGAATTTAAGCTATCCTGTAGGATTTTTAGGTCCACTAGTGTGGCAGATGCTAGTGAACGTTTATGGAATTCTTCCAGAACCCTGATACATTCTAGGAGGGTGTCGACGTCTCGTGACGTTCCCATTTAACTCTGGCCCCAACTTAATAAAATGCATTTATGCTCCTCCCACTGATTTCAGTTCTTTATTTTATTTTATTGTCACCTGTTTAGTTTCTTATCTCTTAGCCGGCCCTTTTCTACAACAAATATCTATCAAAAGCCTTCTTTTGAAGGGTAATGGAAGAATTCTTTGTAATTATATAAAGTATGACATTCAAAACTTTTTCACCTAATGCTAAGAGTTTAACAGCTCTTACAAAAGATGCACTTTGTGGAAGGAAGCCTTGTAATCTAACAGTGACAGGTGCAGGTGACACACTTTTCATCTCTTGCTGCACCCACACTCAAATATCTTTTATGCCAAAGCTTCAAAAAAGAAAAGGGATGTATTATTGGCTATTAAAGATTTAGTATCCTTTAAACTCCACAAGATGATTTCAACTCCATAATGGATCAAGATTAGACTCTTCCTAAATTCTGAATTCTTAATTTCAGATCCCAAGTTCTGAATTCTGAGTTTGAGATTTGAAATTCTGAGTTCTGAATTCATATTCTGAATTTCTGGATTCTGAGTTCCAAATTCTGAGATCCTAATTCTGAGTTTTGAATTCCAAGTTCCAATTTCTAGATTCTGAGTTCCAAATCACGAGTTCCAAGTTCTGAATGCTGAATTCAAAATTCAGAGTTCTTACATCTTAATTACAGATTTCAAGCTCTCAATTCTGAGTTCCAAATGACCAGTTCTGAATTCTTCAACTCCAAGTTCTGAATTCCAATCTCCGAATTCTGACTTCTGAGTGTGTTTTAAATTTTGAATTCCAAATTCTGAAATCCAAACCCCAAGTTTCAAGTCCCAAATTCTGAGTTCTGAATCCCAATTTACAAATGCCAAAATCTGAATTCTGAATTCCAAATTCCAAACTCCAATTTACAAATTCAGGTTCTAAGTTCAGAATTTATTTCTCTGAATTCTCTAAATTTAGAGTTCTGAATTCCAAATTCTAAACTTTGGATTCCAAATACTGCATTCCAAAATTCCAAATTAAGAGTTCTGAGTTCTGTATTCCGAGTTCCAAATTCCATATTTTTGATTCAAAATTCTAAATACCAAATTCCGTATTCCAAATTTGTGTTGGAGATTGGGGGGAGCACAAACATTTTAATATCATAGCACAAATTAAAACACAATTAATGTGATATTACATTAAATTTTTTCATATAAAATGTCATACAAAAAAAGTAAAAAAAATTTAAAATACCGTATTTTTCGCTCCATAAGACGCACTTTTTTCCCCCCAAAAAAGGGGGGAAAATGTCAGTGCGTCTTATGGAGCGAATATGGAGCGGCCGGTCCGGTATTTCCACTGCCGCCGTGTCAGAATACCGGGCCGGCCGCTCAGCTCTACAGCGGGACCTTATAGAGATGACTGCTGACCTTTGGGGAGGGAGGGGGAGGGGGAGCGGGTACCTGAATTTGACAGGTACCCGCTCCCACTTCCGTGGAGTTGTTCTTTCATCTTACCCATTCCTCTATCCAGCGGCGCGGTCTTCCCGGCTTGTGTAGTGTGGGCATGACAGCCGGGTGCCAAGTGCGCATGCACAAGAAGTGGTGCTTTTTGTGAATGGTAAGGCGGCACCTGGGACACATGACAGATCCCAGAAGCCGCCGGACCAATCACAAAGCGCAACTGCTTCTCGCTCATGCGCACTGGGCACCCGGCTGTCATGCCGAGCGCCATTACAGAAGCCGGGAAGACAGCGCGCGGCTGGATAGAGGAACAGGTAAGATGAAAGAACAACTCCGCGGAAGTGGGAGCGGGTATCTGTCAAATTCAGGTACCCGCTCCCCCCCCTCCCCAAAGGTCAGCAGTCATCCCCTGTACTATCCACAGTCTCTGGTTATCCCTGTACTGTCCGCAGTCTCTGGTCATCCCTGTACTGTCCGCAGTCTCTGGTCATCCCTGTGCTGTCCGCAGTCTCTGGTCATCCCTGTGCTGTCCGCAGTCTCTGGTCATCCCTGTGCTGTCCGCAGTCTCTGGTCATCCCTGTGCTGTCCGCAGTCTCTGGTCATCTCTGTGCTGTCCGCAGTCTCTGGTCATCCCTGTACTGTGTCCACAGTCTCTGGTCATCCCTGTACTGTGTCCGCAGTCTCTGGTCATCCCTGTACTGTGTCCGCAGTCTCTGGTCATCCCTGTACTGTGTCCGCAGTCTCTGGTCACCCCTGTACTGTGTCCGCAGTCTCTGGGCATCTCCTGTACTGTGTCCGCAGTCTCTGGTCATCTCCTGTACTATGTCTGCAGTCTCTGGTCATCTCCTGTACTATGTCCGCAGTCTCTGGTCATCTCCTGTACTGTGTCTGCAGTCTCTGGTCATCTCCTGTACTATGTCCGCAGTCTCTGGTCATCTCCTGTACTGTGTCTGCAGTCTCTGGTCATATCCTGTACTATGTCTGCAGTCCATTAGTTCAGAATTTTTTTTTCTTGTTTTCTGCCTCTAAAACCTAGGTGCGTCTTATGGTCAGGTGCGTCTTATGGAGCGAAAAATACGGTATATCAAGCTAGTTTAGAGAACTAACTCTAACATTTTATAATGTTTATATATGTAGGTGCATAGTTAAAAAATATTTGCTGGGGGCGCATGCGCGGCCAGCTCTGAAGGTGGACGTGAAGTGAGGCAGCTCCGTCCACCCGCCAGACACACAGAGGCACAAACCGGCCCTGGGACACATCACTGACACCGCACTGCTCATATAAGGTGCCCGATCCTCCACCGACATGCCAAGGAGGAAGAAAACGGCGGGATCAGCCCGGAAAGCTGACTCAATTCTTCCCGGCTGTCGGGCCGGGAATCCAAGATGGCGCCCGCGGCTGCAAGCAGGGAGATGGGAGCAGAGACCAGCAGGAGGACTACAGGTCCCAGCAAAGGGATTCCAGGCTGCAGCACTCGCTCTACCCCAGGGACCCTGGTGAGTTATCACCCCCACTGTTCCCTACATCACGAAGCCCAGCTAAGTCCAGGCCACGGCTAGAGCAGGACCCCAGCACACTACCCCAGGCCTCAGAACCTGCATCACATCTATCCCACCCAGCCATGCCTGATATAGACGCATTCCCTGCGTCAGATATACCTCTGCAAGAGATATGCATGAGAAGCATGCTCACGTCTCTGCGCCAATCGCTACATAATGATATCTTCACGTCACTTAACCAAATATCAAATATAGTACAACAACAGGAACACAGAATAAGCCACATTGAGAACAGCATGGGAGATATCATTACGGCGCACAACAACTTAATTGATGCTCATGTAGATCACTCAGCTGACATAGAGCAAATCAATCAAAAATTGGCCGATTTGGAAGACAGATCACGTCGTAACAATATTAAATTCAGAGGAATCCCCGAATCTGTTACGAACGATGACCTACTCACATACATACAGCAATACATCAAAATCCTTCTACCATCAATATCCGACCTAGAACTCGCAATTGACCGTGCGCACTGCCTACCTAAACCCTCCTTTCTACCAACATCTATACCTAGAGATGTTTTAGCACGCATTCATTTCTACCACGTGAAAGACAGAATCATGTCAGCGGCCCGAAACCCGCCTCCGATACCGCCATCACACACAAATCTCCGCCTATATGCGGATTTATCTAAGGCTACCCTTCTTAACAGGAAACGTATGATATCAATCACCAAGGCCCTCAGAAATCACGGCATAGCCTACCAATGGGGGTTCCCCACCAAGTTAACGGTGCGACAAAATGGTAGGATCTTCACTAGAGATGAGCGAATCGAACTTGGCGAAGTGGAATTCGTTTTGAATATTAGGAAAAATTCGATTCGCACCGAATCCGAATTTTAGCAAACTTCGGATGCACGAATCGAATTTTCCCCGATCAGCCGGCAAAAAGTGTCACTGCAGAGAGCTCCGCTATTTCTGACAGTTCTCTGACAGTTCTGACAGTTCATTTACAGCGGTTGAAACATTGTATCTATTTGTTTCCATTTAGGATACAGATGTTTTTATTCAGAAATAAATAGATACAATGTTTCAACCGCTGTAAATGTGAAGGAACTGTCAGAGAACTGTCAGAAATAGCGGAGCTCTCTGCAGATACACTTTTTGCTGTACTGGAATTCTTCTTCTTTTCATTCTTCTTCTTCTTTTCATTCTTCTTCTTCTTCTTCTTTTCATTCTTCTTCTTCTTTTCATTCTTCTTCTTCTTCTTTTTTTCATTCTTCTTCTTCTTTTCATTCTTCTTTTCATTCTTCTTCTTCTTCTTTTCATTCTTCTTCTTCTTCTTTTCATTCTTCTTTTCATTCTTCTTTTCATTCCTCTTCTCATTCTTCTTTTCATTCTTCTTCTTCTTCTTTTCATTCTTCTTCTTTTCATTCTTCTTTTCATTCTTCTTCTTCTTCTTTTCATTCTTCTTCTTCTTCTTTTCATTCTTCTTTTCATTCTTCTTCTTTTCATTCTTTTTCTTCTTCTTTTCATTCTTCTTTTCATTCTTCTTCTTCTTCTTCTTTTCATTCTTCTTTTTCTTCTTTTCATTCTTCTTTTCATTCTTCTCATTCTTCTTTTCATTCTTCTTCTCATTCTTCTTTTCATTCTTCTTCTTCTTCTTTTCATTCTTCTTCTTCTTCTTTTCATTCTTCTTTTCATTCTTCTTTTCAATCTTCTTCTTCTTCTTTTCATTCTTCTTCTTCTTCTTTTCATTCTTCTTTTCATTCTTCTTCTTTTCATTCTTCTTTTCATTCTTCTTCTTCTTTTTATTCTTGTTCTTCTTCTTTTCATTCTTCTTTTCATTCTTCTTCTTCTTCTTTTCATTCTTCTCATTCTTCTTTTCATTCTTCTTCTCATTCTTCTTTTCATTCTTCTTCTTCTTCTTTTCATTCTTCTTCTTTTCATTCTTCTTTTCATTCTTCTTCTTCTTCTTTTCATTCTTCTTTTCATTCTTCTTCTTTTCATTCTTCTTCTTCTTCTTTTCATTCTTCTTTTCATTCTTCTTCTTCTTCTTCGTCGTGCCCCGTGACTGCCCAAATGAGTGAAGTGTGCGGTGATTCTAAGATCGACGGCACTCATCTGCATGTCATACTGACTGACAGTATTATTTCTCTTCCCCAGCAGACTCCAAGGGCATTTAAATTAAAGGTACAGTGTTCTGCACTAATATAAAGGCTCTCTGAAACCTAGAAACCCTTTTAATAAGTTAAATTCGCAGCGAATAAATTCGCATCGAATCGAATTTCTCCCGCAAATTCGGCGAATCAGCCGAATCGAATTTTTGAATAATTTGCTCATCTCTAATCTTCACCATTAAAACATTGGAGGCTGGCCTGGATCTACTAAAATCCTGGAATATCATACCGGCGGAACCACAAGAATCTGCGCATAGTTCTATGGAAGCAACATAGCCCCCGCGGGACATATTTTTTCTCTATTACTCAGCATACTCACACGCTCTCCCAGGAGCCAATCATTCATTTAATTTGTCTGGCGTTTGGCCTAAACCCTCGAACCTCGCTCAAAGTTTTTTTTTTTACAATTGGCCTGACCACCATCCAACGGTCAAGCCTTCCTGAACCCCCCAGTCTAGAGGTAGCAATGTTGGCTACACGTGATATTTGCATTTTTCGCAAATGGTTTTTTATTGTTCACCATACCCTCTCCCCTTCTTTACCCTGGCACCATTGGACATCCACTCAATACCTCAGCGTCTTTTACTGTGACACATCTTGGAATACTCCCTTTACCGCTTCAATTGAGTCACAGACTCTCCACCTACACTCAAACACTCATCCTCTTGAAAACGTACATAATCTTACGATTCTCCCAAATAACACTCCAATCAACGGAAAATCCTGGAATTATAAATACCAATGATTAATCTTACGTCCTTAAACGTCCGAGGCTTAAATTCACCTTATAAACGATCACTACTATCTAAAGAAGCACGGAAATCACAAGCAGACATACTCTTCATACAGGAAACACACTTCGCTACGAATAAGTCACCCAAATTATATCTTCATCGCTTCTCTCAAATATTCATGGCAACCAACACCAAAAAGAAGAATGGAGTGATCACGGCCATCAACGATTCTCTTTCATTCCGTATTTTATCACAGACAGCGGACCCACGAGGATGCTTCCACATATTAGTATGCCAAATAAATGACAAGACCCACACTTTAGTGAATATTTATGGCCCAAATTGCAAACAGTTAAGTTTCTACCGTAAACTTTTCAAAACCATTTCTCTACATAAACAAGGGAAACTCATCGTTGGTGGCGATTTCAACATTATGGGAAATTCGGACATGGACTCATCCTCCACTTCCAAATACACCAAACCTACTTTTAACCAATTTCTCCATGACAACGACCTTTATGACATCTGGAGATGTCAACATGGCTCTGAACGGGACTATACCTATTACTCCCCTCCGCATCTTTCATACTCACGAATAGACATGTTTATAACGGACAAGTGGAACGCTGCAACAGGTGACTTCATCCAAAATAGGGACCATAACCTGGTCCGACCATGCTCCGATCCAAATATCCTTGGTCGATGATCAAAATACAGCACTACCACCCATCTGGAGACTTAACTCCGCACTTTTAACAGCAGCACCGGAAAACCTGAAGCATATTCAAGAAGCTCACAAACTCTTTTTTAATACCAATTCCACCCCTGATATATCCATTACCACACTTTGGCCAGCTTACAAGGCCTACATGAGAGGTATCCTCATCCAATTAAATTCCCACGTTAAGAGACAACGCTCCCAACAAATTGACCAACTCATGACCTCCATCCGCTTAAATGAAAAACTGAATAAACAGCACCCAAACCCAGCCACAACAGCGACCCTAAACTCTGATAGAAATAAATTACGAACCATTTTTCTACACACATACGACGCTAATCTGCAAAAAAAAAAAAGCCAGATTTTATGCACTAGGTAACAAAGCAAACTCGCTCCTTAGCAAGACTATCAGACAAAAACGACTGAAAACCAAAATATCCACAATTCGACATCCTACTTTACATGACACCCTGACAAACCCACAAGACATTGCCAATGCTTTTGCGGCCTACTACCAGACACTATATAACTTGAAAGATGACACTGATACAATCCAGCCCACAACACAATCAATCGAACAGTTTTTGCATAGCACTAATCTCCCACACATAACTCAGTCCCAACTTGAATCTATCTCTGTACTGATTGCCCCTCCTGAGATAGAGAGGATCATACGCACCCTGCCGCTGAACAAGTCTCCAGGGAACGATGGCTTCACCAATGAATATTACAAAGCACTTGCCCCCAACCTCACTCTGCACCTATCTCTCCTATATAACCATGCCGCTACCTGTGGTGAATTTCCCCAAGAAATGCTACAATCAATAATTACTACCATTCCGAAACCTG